GAATTCTGTTACCAAAACTGATTCATATTCAATACCTAGAATCGATGACTGCATTGACAACATTGGAAACGCGAAATTTGTCAGTAAATTTGACCTGTTGAAAGGCTACTGGCAAGTACCGTTAACAGAAAGAGCAAAAGAAATATCTGCTTTTGCTACACCAGAAGGACTTTACCAGTATAAAGTAATGCCTTTTGGCATGAAAAACGCACCGGCTACATTCCAAAGGATGATTCACTCCCTTCTTCAAGACCTTGAGGGATGCGAGGCCTACATTGATGATGTCGTCATATACAGCAACACATGGGACGAACATCTCCGAATCATGCGTGCTTTATTTGACATTTTAGCTAAAGCAAACTTAACTGTGAATCTTGAGAAGAGCGAATTTTGTCATGCTTATGTAGAGTATTTAGGTCATAAAGTAGGTCAAGGTTATGTTACACCCATTATGGCTAAAGTGGAAGCTATTGCAAAGTTCCCGATTTCTATAAACAAGAAAGAATTAATGAGGTTTTTGGGCATGGCTGGGTTTTACAGAAAATTTTGTCCAAATTTTTCCTCAGTTGTTAGTCCACTTACAAATCTTTTACAAAAGAGGGTTAACTTTAAATGGACAAAGGACTGTGAAAAATCCTTTCATAAAAACAAATCTGTCCTTATGAGCAACCCAGTCCTGTCAACTCCAGATTTTTCTAAGCAATTTAAGCTTACTGTTGATGCTAGTGATGTTGGAATCGGGGCAGCTTTGTTTCAAGAACATAGTGATAAGGTAGATAGAGTTGTTTCTTATATTTTTCAAAGAAACTTACAAAATGTCAACAAAAGTATTCCACCATTGAAAAGGAATGCCTTGCTTTGTTGTTAGCCTTACAGCATTTTGATGTTTATCTGAATGTTACTTTGCATCCAATTCTTGTATATACAGATCACGACCCCCTGACATTTTTGCACAAATTGTCAAACATGAATCAAAGACTGACTAGATAGAGTTTGTTGTTACAAGAATACAACATAACAATTAAGCATATCAAAGGCAAAGACAATGTTATTGCAGACGCCTTGTCAAGAGTATCGTAAACATACTAGATTTTGTATTAATGTACATGTTTTACAATTTAAGTTTTTCATTGACATTCAAACTTTTTAAGGGGGAGGTGTTGTGAGATGTGTATTGTTTCATTATGTATATAATTAGTAACATTAAGTTTCTTGAACATTCCAGAGTGGTCAACATGTTCGGTCATTTGATCTAGAACATTCTTAAATTTTGTGTATGTCCAGATTGTTCCAGTAATATCATGTTTTAATAATTTCTAGAATATTCTAGATTTATGATACTGTCAATTCGATGCATATACAATACTTTATCGTATAAGCACCACTGAGATATAAATGGGATATATTTTCACTGGGACATTGTGTGCAGCAACGGACACTCTGATGTATGTATTTTTAGATTCTTGCTAAGTTTGTACTTTATGTTTGATATATTTATTATATATTACTGTAAGTAAATTATTGTTAAGTTTAAATTGTGTTATTGATCTTTGCTGGCATTTCGGGTAATTCTGACCCATAACAGAGTATTACGCTTAAAAATTCGATAAGTTTTTTTTTTAAATATTTCCATTTCTAATTTTTTTCTCTGTAATAACTGTTTGAAAATTGGGGAATTTATTTAAGGAATCACTGTCTAGTTTAGAGAGTATGCCAGGGCATCAACAATAGTGGGAAACATGGGATAATTTGCATAACGGGCGAAGCACGTTATGCTAAAATTATCCCATGATTCCCACTATTGTTGATGTCCCTGGCATACTCTCCAAACTAGGCAGTGCTTCCTTATATTTCCATTTCATTGTGAAATTGTAGACTGAGACATTAAAAAATGTAGACAAATTTAGATTTAAATTACACGAGGACTTCCATGCCATTTTCAATAGTCCTGCACACTGACGTCAAACACAAAGCCGGCTGCACGAGGTTTACATGCATATTTGACCTCCTTAACGTCAGACACAGAGACAGATGCGCACGAGATTTGCATGCATATTAAGCCTCCTTAGCTGCTGACCTATCGACCTGCATAATTTACATTCCGGCAGAATTATCAAGAAATAAACTCCCACAACTTTCAAACAGTTATCACAGAGAAAAAAAAGGGAAATATTTCTTGATAATTCTGCCGGAATGTAAATTAGGCAGGTCGATAGGTCAGCAGCTTTGGAGGCCTAATACGCATGCAAATCTCGTGTGCGCAATTGTCTCTGTGTCTGACGCTAGGGAGGCCAAATCTGCATGAAAATCTCGTGCGGCTGGCTTTGTGTTTGACGTCAGTGTGCGAGGACTATTGAAATTGGCATGGAAGTCCTCGTGTAATTTAAATCTATTAGTCTACATCTTTAATGTCTAAGTCTACAATTTTATTTCACAATGAAATGGAAATATAAGGAATCACTGTCTAGTTTTGAGAGTATGCCAGGGACATCAACAATAGTGGGAAACATGGGATAATTTTAGCATAACGGGCTTCGCCCGTTATGCAAATTATCCCATGTTTTCCACTATTGTTGATGCCCTGACATACTCTCAAACCTAGACAGTGATTCCTTAAATAAATACATGTATATGAAAAGTTATTCTTAATAATAACAATGAAAACAATATTGTTTTTAAGGATATTCTAATTGCAAAAACTATTCAAATAAACTTTTATCTAGAATTTTTATCAGCAAAATTTTACTCCATATAACTCAACCGCTTATTTATAGTTCAATGAAACTGTTGTAATAAACACAAAAATATACATCTATACCAAACACAAAAAGGAGAAAATCTCATGTCAAGCTACAGAACAATTTTTATTCAATTTTTATTGCCCCATCCTTCGTTTTGTCAAATAGAAATTTGCTAGAAATTTGCAACAGATATGTAGACAGAATGAAAGCAGAAACATCTCTTAATGATCTACTTCAAAATCTACCCTTGTTCTTAATCAGGAGATGTTTTAGATTAAGGACTTAGAAACATATCCTGACAGATTCTGGGTACATTGATTCTATCAACAAGAGACAGGGTTCCTCCAGGTTGCTCTATACTCGTACAATTAACCTCTCAGACAAGAACCATTCAATGAAATACAAACAGCTAAGGGGACGATCATTTGATTCTAAGGAGGGTGTCAGATTCTGGAAATAAATAATATGTCCACAAAAATATTGAAAATAAATAATCTGTTTTTGACTGGACAAGAAATAATTATCTGTCCCTGATCAGTGTTATTACACCCCCCCCCTTTTTTTTTTTTTTTTTTTTTGCTTGTCAGACTCTTTAAGGTCAGACGACACATTCCTCAAAAATATATAATTTTTCCTAAGAATTTGTCATTGAAGTTTCCTCACAAAAAAATTAGAGTACCTTGCGAGGCATTTGGCCATGATACCATAGGGTAATATTTCTTAGAAAAACCCATAAGGTAATCCTCTTAATGGCCTAAAAACAATTTTGGTGTACTTATATTTAAGATAGGACACAACAGATAGGCCAAATTTTCCCACAAATACAGTTTTTCTGACACTTTGATATTTTGTTCTAGGATTTTTTGCCCATATTGTCTGAGATATAGCCTAACAGACCCGTAAGATCGTAAAATCGAACACTCGACTTAAGATTTTTTGATTATTGTTTTTTAACGCCGAGTCGGCAATATTTCAGCCATATTTCGACTTAAGAATGAGAAATTGATCCATTGCAAATGTTTTATAATTTTTTTTATAAATAACCTTTTTGTTATTTTAACTCAGTAAGTCATATTGATACTGGACCATTTGAGTAAAATATTAAGTTAAAATAGAACATACATAACGTCTTAATTGAATATACACATGTAAATATAAATCCTACACTTAAAGTCTTCTTAAGAAAAAATGTCTTATACAATTTATGCAAAAAAATTAACAGAATGATTTGAATGGATTTCAGAATAAAATGTGTAAAAATAAAGAAAATTGAACCAGTGGTTTAAGATATCCTGTCAATTAAAAAAATTCAATGGCAAAAAACTAAAAGATTCAGTAAATTACGTCACAATATTTGACCTTTAACCTCTTGATTTGACCTTTACCCTTATCGTAAATAGAGAAAAAAAACTCCTTATAAATGTGTCCAAATATCAGCCCTCTACCATTTATGGAAAACAAAAGTTACACTGCATTTTATAACAGACTGTTACATGCTTGTTCATTGCACTTAGATAGGGTAAACACATTCCAAAATGTAAGCTCTCAAGTTACCAATATATACTATATAGGATTCTCTGATTTTTTTTTCACAAAAAATGACGCAAACATGCCAAAACTTGTTATGTTTCTAATAGGGATCATTCATTGTTGTCAATATAGTAATATTATTCTTTAATTCTCCACTATATTTTGAGAAATGAGTTAAAATAAAATCCAGGAGTATTGTGTACTACCTTAACAACATTTTCAAAACAATGTCGAAATCAGAAGAGAATGTCATGATCGACATTAATATGAATATTTTTTTTTATATAATACCAAGAGATACAAAACATATAATTAAGAAACGTTTCCTTAAGTGAAGAAGAAAATAAATATTTTTTTCTTGATCATATTGGAATAAATAATAATTTATATGTACTTCACCGACACGAAAATAAATGATCTGACTCGAAAATCCCCCGCTTTAAAATTAAACAGTAGTAGTCATCCCCTAAAGAAATGGGGAAAAGGTAGATTACTTTCCTAACGTAAAAATATATTTTTAGAGGGGATTTCCTTGGAAATGCATGACTCTTCCTACCAAACTTAATATGTTTCATGTTTCCAAGAGGGGTCTAATACTTTTTGAGTTACAAAAATTAATTTTCATATTAAATTCTATTCCATGATTTTACAGATCTCAGAGAACACAAAATGAAAGAAGATCTCTTTTCTATTTATAGCACAGGTAATTTCCATATCTTACCTGTAAAAATGGATTCCTTAAGAACTTCATCAATGTGAGTAATAATTAATTTTTGTGTATTCATTTAATATCTGAATCACTTTAACTTTATATATATACAAGTAGCACATCTTTCCTATTTTCTTCTATTTCGTTCTTTGTAATTATAATGCTATATTGAAAACAATTGATCATGATGGTACAGTAAAAACAAAATTAGAAGATTCAATTTTCATTGAAAAGAAAAAGCAATTTTATAAGGCTGGGAGGGAAATCTAAATTAAGCAATAAGAAATTTAATCTTATGAAAATTATGTAAGCATTGAATGATTAACTAAATAGCATATATCATTTTTACGAGTTATTTTAAATTCTCCTTTTATCCTCATTAGAAAGACGGCCCTACAACATATGTCTGAGGCAGTGTTCATAGGACTGTGTGTTAAACTTGGGACCTCACAACAGGTGGCCATGAGAAGAGATGTGGTTGACATCAGGGATATGGTGGGTAATCAAATGAAAACAAGTGATGAGGAAAGTAGGATGTGGAGTGGAAGTTACAAAGAAGGATTCAGATTGAAAGGATCAGATATAGACGTGATGTCTTGGGCAAATAATCACCGTGTGATCTGGGAATTATCTCAGTCTCAGTATTACAACACACACAGACAAACACTGATCCTCTGTGACTGTTCTGATAGTCCACCAGGATTCACTATGTTATATTTACTGTCACCAAGCATGTATCAAGTAATCCAGGGAGCTTGTGTTAGAATGAATAACAGGCTATATATCTCCAGTTCAGAATCAAGAAAGATTCAGTGTTCTGCAATTTTACCAGACTCAATTCCTCATGGACCATGTGCCACTGGAGTTCTTCCAGGAAGGACAGAGTATGATTTTGCCCATTGTTTTGCTAGTGACTTTTGGCCTCCATCTGCCTCCTCATGGATAGACAGATGTCACTCATGGCCCCAGCTTTATATTGTTGATGATATAGTAAAAAAAGGATGTCATTTTGTAGCAATTGGACATAAGCTTGGACGTCTCGAAGACCATGAATGGAGAATTTCTTTCTCTTTTGCAGAACATAAACTTGTGTGTGCTATGAATCACTGTCAATTCTTAACTTATGGCCTTCTTAAATTGTTCTTAACGGAAATATTTAACATTGGACTAAGTGCTGGTGATAAATTACTGTGTTCCTATCACATGAAGACAGCAATTTTCTGGGTGATTCAACAGAATACATTACAACACTGGTGTCCACAAACTCTCCTGGAATGTTTCTGGGTTTGTTTTAAACAAGTCCTTAAGTGGGTGTATGAGGGGGTCTGTCCTAACTTTTTCATTCCCCAAAATAACATGTTTCTGAATAAAGTCCATGGTGAAGCACAACATCAGCTATCTATAAGACTGTATGGGTTGTATGAGAAAGGTTTAACATTCCTTCTACACAGTCCCTCCATTAGGTCTTATATTATAAATGTCCTTCACAACCCCCACCTCTCCATCTGTACAAATGAACATACTCTGATTTCTGAAACCAAGTTTGATTTTGAGCTGTTTCAAGAGATATACTTATGTGACACACTTGACACATCAAGCATACAAACCTGTATGAGATGTCTATATACAATAGAACAGATGATAGACTCACCCCTCCTAACACAGTATCAAGTCATAATGTTACAGAAACTTACAGCTAATGTCCTTCAGAGCACTGCTTTTATATTATACATGGAAACTTACACATATAAAAACAAACTGAGGTATAGAGCTGACAAAATCTCCTGTCACATGCTGAAATTAACAGCAAAGTTCGGTTGTTTTACTGACATGATGTACATGGCCATGTATTATTACAAGACACGTAGATACATGCAAGCTTTATCTATTATAGAGATGATCGAGCTCAAGTTAGCACAACCATATGTAATGTATAGGTCTTACTCTTATGTATATACAGAGATGTGTAGTGAGGCTGTAGGTGGACAGTCCTGGTCAACAAAGATGAGACAGGCTGTAGCATGGAATATCAAACTTATCAATAGAATCCATTACATCAGTGAATTGATACCAGAACAACAGTCTGCTCAACAGAACAACTGGCCAGCATTATATGTCCCACCATTTGTAACGTTATACATGCTTGAGATATTTTGCTACAGACATATAGACACAACGAGAGCACAAACAGTTCTAAATGATCTACAGACCCTAGTTCACTATGATCAGGGACAGTTTATGGATTCAGGTGACAGAGACATATCGTGGCAGATTCTGGGGATCTGTCAACAGGTGACAGGGAACCTCCAGGCTGCTTTATACTCATACCAACAATCTCTCAGACAAGAACCGTACAACAGAATTCAAACAGCTACAGAAATGAGAGGAAAAGAAGCTAGTTTGTCATAGATCACCAAATTAGTGAAAGATAATCTACATTTTAGAAGCCCATGTGATAGAATTTATAATTTGTATACTTCTTCTCATTCTACCCAATTTTCTGAATGGTCATTTAATTTATTTAAAACCTCCAGGCTGCTCTTTCCTCAAATATTCACCCTACCAGATACCATATTACAAAATACAATCTACCACAATTATCAGAATTATAACATTATCTATAGACTCTTGAATGTCTTTTAATTATATTTCCATTTCTAATGTTTTTTCTCTGCGATAACTCATTGAAAGTTAGCGGAGGGGATTTCTTGATAATTCTACTGGAATGTAAATTAGGCAGGTCAATAGGTCAGGAGCTAAGGAGACCTAATATGCCAGCAAATTTCGTGCATATCTGTCTCTGTATTTGACGCTAAGGAGGCCAAATATGTATGTAAATCTTGTGTGGCTGCTTTTGTGTTTGACGTCAGTGACAATGACAATTGAAATTGGCATGGGAGTCCTTGTGAAATTTAAATCAATGTCTACATTTTTAAAGT